CCTCTGTGTGTATTCCCAGCAGTAGAATAGCTGGGTCATATGGTAGATCTATCTGCAATTGTTTGAGGAACCTCCATACCATTTTCCATAAAGGCTGCACCATTTTGCAGCCCCACCAATAGTGTATGAGAGTTTCTTTTTCTCTGCAACCTCTCCAGCACTTACTATTCTCAGTCTTTCGGATGTTAGCTATCCTAACTGGAGTGAGATGGTATCTCAAAGTGGTCTTGATTTGCATTTCCCAGATGCTGAGTGAGGTTGAGCATTTTTTCATGTGTCTGTTGTCCATTTGTATATCTTCCTTTGAGAAATGCCTATTCAGTTTCTTTGCCCATTTTTTAATTGGGTTATTTGTTTTTTTGCTGTAAAGTTGTTTGAATTCCTCATAGCCAAAGCAATCCTGAGCAAAAAATAAATAAATAAATAAAGCTGGAGGCATAACACTACTTGACTTTAAACAGTATTACAAAGCTATAATAACCAAAACAGCATGGTACTGGCATAAAAATAGACACACGGATCAATGGAATAGAATAGAGAACCCAGAAATCAATCCATACGCCTACCGCCATCTGATCTTTGACAAAGGCAGCAAATCTACATACTGGGGAAGAGACTGATTTTTCAACAAGCAGTGCTGGGAAAACTGGATGCTCATATGCAGGAGAATGAAACTAGAACTGTACCTCTTACCATATACCAAAATCAACTCAAAATTGATTAAAGAATTAAATATACATCCTGAAACAATAAAACTCCTTAAAGAAAACATAGGGGAAACACTCCAGGAAGTAGGAGTGGGTACAGACTTCATGAATAGGACCCCCAAAGCATAGGCAACTAAAGGAAAAATAAGCAAATAGGATTATATCAAACTAAAAAGCTTCTGCACACCAAAAGAAACAATCAACAGAGTAAAAAGACAACCAACAGAGTGGGAGAAAATATTTGCAAAATATACATCTGACAAAGGATTAATATCCAGAATATACAAGGAACCTTTCTTACTTCCTTACCACCCACTAATTCCCCAGCCACCTCTCCACTGACTGCTCAGGACAAGATCACTAGTGACTCCCTGTTATCTAATCCAATAATTAATTTGGATTATAATTGATCTTTCTGTAGCATTTGACATTGTTGATCCCATTTTCATTAGCTGCATAGGACCATTTATCCTCCTCATTCCCCATAATAGTTTCCTCTTCTTCTGTCCCTCTCTTTAGTGTTGTTTCCTTGGGAATTGATCCAAGGCCTACTTCTCTTACTCCACACTCTCATCCCAGATGATGGTATCTGCCTCTGTGGCTTCAATTCCATTCAATTGATAAAGATTCTCCTCTTATTTCTCCAGTTCAGATCTTGTGGTGACAGGTCTATGTCCCAAACTGAACTTGGTTCCTTCTCTTCCTTGTTTCTTTGAAGTTCCCAATCTTAGGGAGGGACACCATTGTTCACTGTGGAAGACAGGAATCTCAACTTCTAGTCTCTTTCCCTCTCCCATAAACTAACATTTCCTATTTATTTAATTTCCTACATATCTTTAAGATTCATGCCTTCTCCCAATCTCCCACTAGTCCCCTTCCCCCTGCCCTAGATCAGGAAACCACCAACTTCTGTCTTGATCACTCTCTCTGGTTTTGTCTCCTTACCCTCCACCCTCCCTATTATAGGAGAGAGACTTTCTGATCATCACATTTACCTGGTCACAGGCCCTCGTGCTTGCAAAACTCCACAATCCAGCCTCTTGGCTTTCCAGCCACAGCTCTTGGCACTCCCCACCTTATATTGTTCACTTTTGATCGTACTGATTCTTCTTCAGTTCCTCAAACATACCATACTGTCTCAGCTCTGGACTTTTGTATTCTATTTTATTCTGCCTGGAACATTCTTTCTATTCTCTCCCCTTCTACTTCCTTTCAGATACTCCTCTGAAAGCCCAAAGTCTGGCAAAGGTGCTTCTCCATGGCTTCTGCCCCACCATTTCATCAGAGCACAAGCCACCCTGAAGATTAATCCCCTGGGTCTTTTATCCCCGTTAGATTGTCAGTCCAGTGAGGACAGAAGCATGTCTCCCGTGTTGACGTTGTACCGCCAGTGCCTCATACAGTGCTTGATGCATGGCAGGTTCTTGATAAATATCTGTTAAATGAATGAACAAGCCTCAGAGTAAACTACAAGTTTCTTTCTCACTAGTCAAGTTTCCCAGACTGGAACAACTATTACTTTTCCACAAAGCAGACCAAAACTTTATTGCAGACAAAGCAACCTATAAATCCCAAAGGAAGAGAAACTTTTGAAAGGTTCTGAGAATTAGCATATGGTAATTGTCAAATCCCAGGATATCTTTTAATTGAACCTTCACAGTAGTTCACTTAGCTTGTACTCAGTGCTTAAATTGAGTAGAACCTCATCAGGGAGGTTGTACCATGCCTTAGTAAAAAATGGAGAGAATATGAGAAATATAGCTTTCCATGACATGGAGGCATGGAGAAAAGGGAGCATTCTGGTCTGTGGGTTCTTTAATTCATGTGTCTTGACCGTACTGACTCCCTGATATTGGAGATGATGGGAAGGATGCCCACGGCCATCAAAGGACGTTAGGATTTTCTTTCTAAATCCCATTCTGGGTTTTGTATTCCAAAAAGATCTATTGCATGCTTGCCTCCTTTCCTCTCCCTGTGCTTCTCCTTCATTGCCAACCTCATGAGCAACCTGTGTGTAAACAGTATTCCTCCCCAGGAGCATAGCGTCCTAAGGAAACCATGTGACTGCTGGGCTCAGCCCAGCAGTGCTTTCCTGTCTGGAAGGCGGGGCTCTCTCTATGCTCTCATCCCTCTTCACCTCTCCAAATCCTAATCCTTGAGGCTTGGCTTAGATGCTGCCTCCCTCATGAAGCTTTGGCTAAGTCCTACAAGTGTCTCCCACAACCCAGCAAGTGGTCCTCTCACCTTTCTCCAGATCCTCAGTGGCCCTTATTTGTACCTTTCTCAGGGCACTGTATACCTTGTTTAGTTCTTAGGTATGTCTTGGTGACTTTATGTTAAACTATAAACTTCTTAAGGGCAGAGTCTTTTTCTCAGTGTGTCCACACTGTCTCACACAGGATTTGGCACACAGTAGGTCTTCATAAGTCAGTGAGGTGAGTGAAGAGATAAAGGGGAGAGGGGAGGAGGAGAGCAAGTGGTTAAGTACAGAGGGGTTGGGAGAGTGAAGGGTGGGCTTGTGCTCCGAGGTCAGTCATCCTGGGTTTGAATTCTGGTTCTACCACTTACCGGGACAAATTACATCATTTGTCTGTGCCTCTATTTTTTTTATGTAGAAAATGGGATAAAAAATGCTACCCCAACATACAGTTGTTGTGAAGTCTAAATGAGCTAAAACATAAAGCACTTAGCATGGACCCAATGCATAGTGAATACTTGGTGTAAAGTAAGGCAAATCATAATTAAAGCCAAAATGTTTCATTATTTTAGTTATTATTTTAGTTATATTAAGTTTCCATTTATGTTGTCAGAGCTAGGGCTCAGATCCTTCAAACCCATTGTACAGACTGGGTCACCAGACTCCTCACACACCAGGCTGGGTCCCTAGACCCCTCACATGCAGGTCCACGCTAGGTAATTGGGAAAGATTCCAGGAGCTGTTGGCAGATGACATGAGCTCAGTCCTCAGCTTCCTCAGCAGCAGCAGCTTACAGGTCCAGTAGCTTACAGGTCTGGCAGTGGCCTTGCAGAAGGTCCCGGGACACTAGCAGCAGCAGCAGCAGCAGCCTCCAGCAGCAGTAGCGGCCTTCCCATGGTTCCCCCCCACGGGGGGCATCCCAGGGGTGGGGGCCCTGTGGATCAGAGCCACTCATCCTTCATACTTAAGTCCATAGCCCAGGACACCTGGGTGCACATGTGCAATTACATTAGACGATAACCAAGGAACACCTGAGCACACATGCCTATTTACATCAAATGCTTGGCAAGATTCTGAGCATCTGAGGGGCCCTGACCATTTTCCTATATTTTCCCAATACTTGGTAAAAATCAGAATCCATAATGTAAAGGATCCAAGGTAGGTACCTCCATGGAAAATGCAGGTGTGCATGCTAAGGGCAAACAACATTTGTGACTATGTCACAAGGAAAGTTAAATCTAAACCGTCAATAATGAAAGACAGAGGCAATAGCCTAATACTCTCCTAACAACCCAAGTACCTCTGTTTTTGAAAAGATGAACTCATCTCTGTAACTCAATAAAAGAATAGCTTGGGCAAGAAGATGGTAAGGGAGGCTGCCCGAAAAAAGGCAGCAAAGGACAGCCAAATGAGCTTGGGGGTGTTAAATCGGTATTTAAATGTGCCCTGTTCTAATATCTGATGATTTTAAGGGGCATGGAAATATAATGCTAAGGGAAAGTCATGTTTTTGCTGCCATCTACAGATGTCAAAGTGCAATTTTTAAAGTTTAACACCCACACACACCCAACTCAGAAAGTGACAATATATATAAAGTTTAGCTTAAATTCTAGTAAGTGAAATAACGGGTATATTACTATAGCAGTTTATTTTACTTTTCTTTCTAAAATATGTACATTTAATCAATAATGTAGCCTTTGTAACATCTCAAATTATTTTAAAACCTTTCATCAGAAGACTGCTGTCATAACTCAAGAGTGGGCCAGGTCATCTGTTGGGATAGATTAGCTGCAGCCGTGGCTGCCGACAGACAGTCTGAGAGTTAATGAGATGATTTCAATGAGGAGTGAGATGCACTGGATTTTACCCCTACACTTTCATGTATTTCCCTGGTTGTTATTAAAATTACTGTACGTTGCATTTTATACAAGTGTATTTTATTGTTTGGATATGAGAAATCAGCCCCAAACAAGGAAAATCAAAATATGACAGTGATGTCAACTCTGAGATGCCTTCTGCACCTTTGCTCTTATCCACATACTCTCCAAGATTATTATGATGCTTCTCCAACTTGCCTGTGCATTACTTTTAAAGGATTAAATATAGACAAGAATTACTGGAAAAGCGTTTGATGGAGAAGAAAGAAGTGGCCCTTCGGGAAGCGCATGAAGAAGAAGAGAGAGAGAGGCGGCTAGAAGCCCTTAGGAAACAGGTGTTTTTAATTTGGAAATTTTCATGGGTGGTTTTAAACAAAATGTAAGTGCTCTCAACCACATTATTACTGGGGCTTGGTTCATGACATCTGCTATATAAAAAGGAGCTTTTCCAAATTGGGACACTGATCTTCATTCCTGGGAGTAATTAGATTTATGTTGAACCATTTCCAGTTTCTCAGTGTATTAAAAGAACTTTTATCAGCACCTTTTAAAAAGCTCTCCCAATATTTAGATGTGTCCATATCACCTCTAGTTTATTAGCTGAATAGTATCCACTTGCAACAGTGAAACTCTGCATCTAGTGGACGGATTCTATGGTCCTCAAAAAAACTTGGCAGAGCAAGATAATCGTCTTTGGGGTAGGAACCTCTGCTTGGAAATATTCCACAAACACGTTAAGAACCCCTTTTTACAAACACCCTTTTTGTGGAGAAATAAAAGCCTCCCATTGCCTTGTAAAAGTAGGCAAAAGTAGATGACACATTTCCCAGGTAACAGGAAATGGCTCTCTGGTTGCCCTCCTATGTCAGTGGAAGCAATATGGTGTCGCGCATGGATAAGAACTTGGCTTCTAGTGTCCTCCAAGCCTGGGACAGCCTGCTTTGGTACTCACTAGCACTGGAAACCTAGGTCTTTTACTTAACCTCCCCAAGCTTTATTTCTTCATCTGAAATATGGGAATAATAATAATAATAATAGCACCTGCCTCATAGGTTTGTAGTAATGTAAGTTCAAATTTGTTGAGTATTTACTAAGTAAAAAGCCCTCTTCTAAATGCTCTTAGATATTACTTTTTAAAATCTCTACGGCACCCTAGTAATACCTATGGAATAGGTATTGCTAATATTCCTGTTTTACAGAAGAGAGAGCTGAGGAGGCTTGCCCCCAAAGTCACACATCTGGTAAATATCACACCTAATTCAAACCAAAGAAGTCTAGTTGAGTGAGATGATATAAATGAAGTGTAAATGCTGTATACAACTATTCTATCATTGTCTTCTTTGGTAAAATAGATTGTAAAGATAAATTCAAATCGTAGGAATGTAAGTTCTGGTCAGCCTAGATCCTAGAAATTTAAATTATTCTTAAACTCCTACTAAATTTGATTATTTAATCATTAACAAATAATTATATACCATGACCTTCTGGGGGTGAGACAATGTCATTATTACAAAACACATTCTTGTTCAAATATAACTTTGATAAATACAGTTCATATGATTAGAATAACTTCCATCTGTGGACCTTTTGAAAAAGGAAATATTTGTGCCCGTTATCTGTAATCAGTGTTTAGAACTATAGTATAAAATATTTTAGCTAGGAAACCTATAATAATTAAACTATGGTCAGCCCTCAGTTATTTCATTACAGTTTCTAAATGGCATTAAAAATGCCATTTTCTTCATGCTCATTCTTGACTTTCAGAATTAACAGGCAGGTGTTACTAATGGTGCATATAATTTACAAAATTAGTGGATTCTTTTCATTAAGATGCAGGTTTGAATTATCATAAAGGACAAGGGCATTTGGGTTATAATGACTCTGCAGTTTTTCAGTAGAAAGGGTAACAATGGTTTATAGCAGTCCTTGGAAATCTAGTTGCCTGATGCAATGAAAATTCACATATCTTGCCCAATAATGTCAACACAGTCGACTTTACCCATGAATGATATGCTCTAGATTCAGCTTAATCAGATTAAGCTTTCTAGAAATCTTCATGGGATTGTTACTGTTGCCATAGATTGCTAGTGGTTAAAAAATGAATGTTGTTTTACTTTTGGTTACTTTCAAGGTGGTTGAATATGTAGTTTTTCTATATAAGATTTCCTATGACTTCATATCAGCAAGATAATTTTTTATCTGAAATTAATCTAAATTGTAACTATTCAATCAATAGCAAATAATTATTTACCAATGGCCTTTTAATATTTTGTTTTATGTTGTTGTAACTCTTTTGTGGATCTCTAGACCTGGCCTGGATTTAATATTCTTTCTGCCATTTCTTCTTAGGTTTTATCTTTAATAAAATTTCTTTAATGGGCATTAACATTAATAATGTTACCCAGAAGATTTAGCTTGTACCTTGTTCCTAGTAGCTATGCTTTCTCTTCTTTCAGGTTGCTGTTGTTGCTCAATTTGATCCTTTTAGAATGATGTCAGATACAATGGCATCGAAAGCTAGGACAGGTATTGAAACTGAAGAATTTATTCTTCAAAAGCCACTCTTCACATTGAATACATACAGTGAACAGCAGGTAATTATGGGAATTAGCATGATTGATGCAAAAGCTATGATGATGATAAGAACTATAGAAATGTGTGTTTTGGGTTACAAATTGTTGTCAATATTTACATTTGAATACTAGATGGATTAGCTTAATTTTTTACTTCTAAATGATAGCAATAATTACTGCAAAATTCTTAATATTGTAAAATAGTTAATAGGTAACCATAGAATAAAACGGTTTACTTGAAAATGTTATAAATCTGTCATTAAAAACTATTTTTGAAATTAAAAATAACTTTATAAGGTTTTATTTGAAAGTTCTGTGTTAAAATTTCATTTTGTTTAAATTTTTCTGTTATATTAATACTTTATATTTAACTTCATAACATAAATCCTATGAAACAACTGATGATACTGATAAGATAAGACAAAAAAACTTTTAGAAATTAAAATAAACAGAAGATAATACATCAGAGCTAAGGATAAAATAAATCATTTTCTGTGAAAAAAATGTTAAGGGGTTATTTAACCATTTCTAGGAACTTAGGATTCATTTTAGTCTGTACCTGTAACTGAGAAGAAGTTTAAAAAAGAGGTTTTAGATGGATGGATTGAAGGGATAGACAGTGGAAGGAAGGACAGATGAATGAATGGCTATCACTGAAATTAATGGAAAAAGTAGTTAATTTTACAAAACTAAGGACAGAAGCTAAATACTTATTTATTTAAAAATCAGGAAACTTCATTCATTTATCCATTGCCAAATAAATCCAATGTATCTCTACTGTGTGTTGCGTGCATGTTTTGGTGGGGAATAAAAAGATGAATAATTTATTCATTTATTAATTGAACAAGTATTTATGGAACATATACTATATTCTGGCTCTGTGTGAGGTACCTGGGCTATATCCTGAAAAAGAGAGATTGGTCCTGTCTGGAGGAAGTGAATAGAAAGCTGGGTTGGGAGGAAAAGTAGCATGAACAGAAATTAAGCTGCATGGATGAGATCAACTCTGTAATGGAAGAGGTCTAAGGGCTGCAGCAGCAAGGGGAAAGGGACAGATGGTTAACTCCAACTGCAGAACTTCAGAAAGTGTCAGAGAGGAATCTTTTAAGCTCTATCTTAGTTAAGGATTTTTGGCAGCAGTAACAAAATTCACTCCAGATGGGGATTTACAGTAATAACAAAAAAAATAGGTTGGGGGGGATCCATAGAGAGAGGGACTAATTATTAGGATGCCTGGGTATCTTCAGATACCAGATGTGAAGTCAGAAGCAGGAAAAGTCTAAGGTAGCTGGGCTGCAGAAGTAAGAGAAGAGGGTAGGACAAGGCCCTTCCTGGTACGTCCTCATTGTGAGGTACATAACACGTGGTATGGGACAAGTGCTGGAGATGAGACTGGAAACATGATTTTGGGTCTGACTGTGAAAAGCATAGTAGGTCTTGCTACTATGGCATTTGATCTTTATCCTGTGAGCAGATGTGAGACTTTGAAGCAGGTAAATTTTATAATTGGATTTATGTTTTAGCTGTGTGTCCTGAATAGAAAATTGGAGGGGGTGGACGTGGGGTGGGGTGAGGTCCTTTTAAGATGACAGAATTGGTGGGGGTGGGGGTCACGCATGGCTCTGACTAGAGGGGGAAGGGATAAAGAAAGCAAGGGTGATTCCAAGCTAGACACCAAATCATAGTGGGAAGAGACTACATTTTGGATTCAAATCCACATCCACTATTTACTGGCTGGGTGCACTTGTGTAAGCTATTAACATCTTCATGTCTTGTTTTCTTCATCTGTAATATAATTATTTGCAAGGTCCTTGTGAGGATTAGAGATAATAAATGTCAGCTGCCTAGAGTAATGCCTGGTACCTCATAGTGATTCAGTAAATTAGAATTATTAGGTAGAGCTGCCATTAACCATATAAGAATGCAGAAGGAAAAAGAGACCTAGGAAGAAAGAGAATTTGTTTTGCTCATGTCCTGTTTGGGGTGAAGATGTCTAATACTGATTGGCTGCTTCTCGGGAGGGGAATTGGGGAGATGGAAGTCTGGGTGAGAGAGAGATCTCCATTTCACTTGCTATCTATTCAAGAATAGAATAATTAAAATATTTAAATCTCACAGCCCTGGAGTTGATGAGAAAGATGAATCCTGGAGATAATTTGGGTGTCAGTAGCACACAGGTTGAACATAAATCCTTGGTAATGGACGGGAGTGACCAGGGAGAATATATTGAAGAAGAGAAACCTGGGTCTAAAACCTGGTTGCTTTTCAGACAAAAATCTCTGTATTATTCTTGAATTCATACTCATCATTGCCCCTAACCTTGTGTCTGGTTAGTTGCCAAGTTCTATTGATTCTTCCCTTCATAGTGTTTCTGACAGTTATCTCTTCCTTGCTACCAGCCAAGTGTAGACATTTATTACTTCACGTTTAGACAATTGTAGAAGACTCCTAACCACTCTCCCCACCTCCATCTCTTCTTTCCCTGCCACCTTCTTATATCCTGAACTTAGAATCAGATTCATCTTTCTGCGCAACTGCGATGATTATATTACGTCCATGCTAAAAACAAACACAACTCCAGTAGCCCCTCAGACTCCTTGGCACGGCCTTCAAGCCTTTCAGATTCAAGTCCCAGCCTGAGAAGTGTCCTTTTCCAGTGTTCCTCAAACACCCAGTGCTCTACCTAAACTACCCTGATCCCAGATTGACCTATTTCACTTCTGTGTTTGTATGTGCCTTCCTTTCTTGTTAGATCTCTCTTCCTCCCCCCTCAGCTTTATAGAAGAATAAGTTGGACTTTAAGGTTAGCTTATTGCTCCTCCTTACCTGAGATCATCCTCATCCCATCAGCACTAGGAGATGCGCCTACTTGCTTTACTGCACTTAGAGCATCTGTCTCATGTTTCCATAAACTGTAGTTATCTGTGTACATTCTTAACACCCCCATTTGTCTAAGACCTCCTTGAAGGTCAGGCTGCTTGCAGCAGCTTATTATCTCATTCTCTAGGGGGACTTCAAGTCCATGTAAAATGCCTCATTAGGTAAAATCCACGTGCGGCCACCTTCTTATCATTGTGAACAGTGTCTGTTGACATTTAATATATTTGTGGAAAGAGGGGAAGAGGAATAAGGTCCAATCAGCCATAAATGAAAACAGAAATTGAACTATTCATATGTCTACACCCACTTAGAATCAGATTGATGGAGGCATTTTCTAGTTCTGTTTGAAATAGAAATCCGGCCTTGGAAGAAAAGTTCTATTGATTTTGTTTTTCAAGTAGTGGCTTTGAGTTTAAACTTAATTTACATATTGCCAAATGATGGAGAAATTAAAATATCTGTTTAAAGACAGATGCACGAGGTTGTGGGTTAGATTTATTTTAATCAATGATTTCCTGTATTTTATAATTCCAGCCAACAATAAATAATAAATAACAATACTGAAAGTAAGCTTTTTTTTTAACCTCATCTTTTAATAATTTTAATGCACTATATTTTGACTAATCTAGCATACAATATTCTATACATCCTCTTTTGGAAACCACTGATATACTGGGAAGTGATAATGCCAAAAGAGCTTTGGACATTTTCAGTAAAAATAACTAGAATATAGTCACTGTAGTCTCAAAGTTTATTGTCATCTATCCATTTATCCAGCGAAAACAAATTATGCGACTTGGGAAAATATGGAACTAAATGATAAGATTTATTTTATTTCAATGAATTGCTATTTATTTGAATTGTATTTTATTTCTACAGATAATTTCTGACCCTAGACTTCGATTTGAATTAGCACTTCGAGAAGCTGGACTTCATAAAACATTGTATGCCAAAGAAATATTACCAAAAATCAGCCCTCAAAAACCTCCAAGAAAGGATATGGAGTCTACTGTATTTAAAATCTAGAGCTTATCCTCAAATCCTCATATAGATAAACAATATTTTTCTTTGAAAGCATTTATATGAATAACAGTAATTACTGCTTTCTAAAATTTTTTAAAATATCAGACATGGAATTCATGGCATCTATTAAAACAATTTTGCCTTTCTTTTATGATTCTTAGAATTTTATGCACTATTTGTTATATCTTTAAGTTATATTTGATAGTACCAAATTTCCAAAAATTATGAAACTTGATTATGGCACATATGATACATATACTATCATTTAGTAAACTGAACGTTGGAGGTTCTGGTATCCCATGAAAAGAGCTCAAAATAACCACTTTTTAGAATTATGAATTATGTAGCTGCTATCTGCTAGTGTTCATTTCTGCATGTTATTTCAGAATTTGACTTTTTAACTATGGAAGCTTCATTATCATTAATATTTCTATTATTTCTTGATTATTATAAGAGGAGACTGAACCTTTCTCTAAATTTAGAAACCAATTTGGTACACCATGTTTACTGCAAACCAATCATCCAAACAATTTCATTTTGCAAATTAGCCCTTAAGAACAAATTAGAAATTAGAAATAGCATTTCAAGCATGGGAATAACTATTTGGGTTTGGAAAAAAATATATTTGCATGGTTGTTAGGAAGAAATATTTGAATACTTTGAACACTGTCAAAAGTTCCAAATTATCTGTTAAGTATCTAGATGATTTTATAGAAAGAAACATTTCAAATAAAAGTCAATCATAAATTTTTTATTATTTCTCAAAAGTGGTTATCCAATCAGAGTAGCATCTCAGCGTTGTTAAAAGTTGCTGTTGTTGCTGAAAAGAAGTCTACACCCCTTTTCTCTCTATTGTAGCTCCCTGCCATTTCCTACCCACCTCTAGCCTGGGGGTGTAGTATTCCCACGGTTATTGGAATAATGTAAAAGAAGACAAAGACCAGTCTGACTGGTGGAATTTTTGGCTTCATGATTGTCCCGAACATCATGGGAATAAGAAATACAACAAGTCCAGCCCACCAAAATGAGCCTTCACAAAAGATTCTATGGGCAAAAACCCTTACTATATTTCAAATTCATTCTAATACGCTCCCATCTCAGCCTTTTACATCATCATTACATCTGATAAAGAGAGAAGGAAGAAGTCTGTAACAACAGGCAAGAAGAACTGAGCATTGGCGTTTATCTTGAGGGTGTCTCCCGGGGTCAAAATGTCTCTTTATGGGCCCTCAGTTTGCTTGATGTGAAGTCTCAGACCATAAACCCAGGAAATCCCTTCTAAGTCAGAGCATATCCTGTCTACAGGCAAGACACTGAGGCTGCTCAGAGTCCATGGGTCCTTGACAACATCAACATCCGTACTGATGTCCAGGGGATCACACTCAAATTCCAACTGAGTATTATCTCTTTTACACTTTCCCAACGGTCAGACTAGTATCTGGGGACAGCACAGCAGGAGGTACCACCATCATTTTGAGAATAATAGAGAGTTGATATGCTGTGTGGTTTTGATGAGAACATTAGTTGAGACCTTGGCAGCAGTCTAGCTGTTGGCTATGCCCAGATTCAGACCTTATTAATTCCCTTTTAAAATAGTATTAACAGTTACCATTCATTGAGCACAAACTATGTGCTCAGTACCATATGTGTGATTTACATATAATATC